CCCGTTCACCGTGCCGTGCGGGGGGACTTGACGGCTGGACAACTAAGGAGGCTAAGGAGTTACCCGACGACATCCTTCGCCTCTTCGCCAGCGTCTTACGCGCTATGCAACGCACTGGCACCATCCCAGAACCCCTCCTTCATGTGCCAAACCCGTGCCTCCGAAAAGGCCGAGGCGAACTCCCAACGGACCAACGACTTCTCTCGGTGCTTTCCGTTTGGATGTATGCGTGGGAAGCGCCAGCTTACCGCAGCCTCACGGACTGGCGGAAAGGATGGACCCACGCCACGAGTTTTGGCGCTGTTCCCAAAGCTACCATTGGGGACGTCAGCACCTCTCTCGCCCTGCGCATCGAGCACGCCAGGGCTTTACTCCTGCCCTTATCTGGGGCTGCCCTTGACCGACAGAAGTGTTTCGACTACCTCATCACGGACATCTGCCTTAACCTTGCGCTCCACGCGGGGTGCCCCCAAGACATCGTAACTGTCCGCAGAAACTTCTACAGTCGCCACAAACGCTACATCCGCATGAACGGAGCGTACTCTAAGGAATTGGTCAGGACCAACGGTCACCTCCAGGGAAGCTCATGGTCCCTGGACGACATCAAGCTGCTCATGTGTGTGTGGACAAAGAGACAGCATCGATACGTTCCGCGATCACTCAGCACTACCTTTGTTGACGACAGCAACTCCACTACCCACACCGCGTCTGAGTTGCAGAAATCTCTTGACGAAACCGCCAAGTTTGATCGATTCTCAGGTCAACGCATTCACCCTGGCAAAGTGGCGGGGTGGGCCCTCACCGACGAGCTTCACGCCGCCGTTACCCAGCTCACTCTGGCGGAACGGCCCTTACGCGTGGTCGACTCCTTCAAGCTCGTCGGGAGTTACATCAACGCCGAGGCAGCGCCGGCTCCAGCCGCGCTTAACCTCACGGCCACCGCTGACGCCCGTGTTCGGAGGGCGACTAGTCGCCTGCCGCGCATTGGCAAGCTCCCATCGCCGATGCTTATCAAGGCGCGGCACGCCCGGTCCCTTGCTGCCAGCGTCTGTACCACGGGCACCGACATTCAAGCCCCATCAGGCCCCGCCAAAACTGCCTACAACCACGCCCTCAAGGCGGCTATCCGCCCCAAGGGGAACAAGTGGGTTGAGTTTTGGACTCTCATGGCCGTGTGCGTCCCAGGACACGCCCTGGAGATTGACGCAATCACGCAGCGTGAAGCTTTCCTGTGCCTGCGGCGACAGGCTAACCGCGACGTTACACTCTGCGGTCTCGTCAGGGATCTCCAACACCACGTCCAGACCCTGTTCGGTGGAGGACCTGTCGGACGACTCGTCCAGTCGCTCCAGCAGCTCCGTTGGACCTGGCCCACATTTGGCATCATGTACGACGACTGGGGCTGCCAGATCAGCTGGCTGAACTTACCCCAAAACGCCTTCCTTCACATGCTGCGGGCCTCACAACGCAGAGCCTTTCTGAGGAGGATCAAGCCACGGCGTCACGACCTTGGATACCTTGCCTCTGTCAGACAGGGCCTCGACCTCTTCGCCAGCACGTGGCTCGCCCGAACGAAAGGAGCAGCCAAATGCACTGCCTGGCAGCTGGCGCTCCTCCTGAACTACCTGTCGGGCGGGGACCACACCCAACAGCGACGATCCCGATCAAACACGTCAGCTGACCCCAGCCCCATCTGCCGATACTGCGACGAGGAAGAGGAAACTCAGGAGCACACTGTCCGCGACTGCAAGTGCTGGGCCCGAGAAAGACTCCCTCTCACCACCCTCATCAGTGACGAGCAGTGGGCCCGTCTTCCGCCGCACACAAGACACTGCGGGCTCTTCGATGAAGACCCAGCCCTCCTCGACCTGCAGGCCGACCTCGCGAGGGACCCGCTACCTCAGCCCATGCCGCGGCCCCCACCTGAGGGAGATCCTGCGGCTTCAGCCCAGGACTCCTACACCACCTACCTTGACCACGACACTGGTTGGACATGGGTCTACGCTGCCACGGACGGTGCATGCACCAACCAAGCCATCCCATTGCTAGCACGAGCGGGCTACGGCGTCTACTACGGCATCGACCACCGCATGAACTACAGTGCACGCGTTCACGGCATTACGCAGAACGCACAGCTTGCGGAGACCCTCGCCATTGTCCACCTCACGGCATGTGCTGAACGGCCCGTACACGTTTTCGTGGACAACCAGGCGGTGGTCGATGGGTTTCAAAGTATCATCGACGGACACTCAGCACCGCAGGGCACGCACGTGGAGCTCTGGGAAAAGATCCACCGATGCGTTATGGCCAAGCCCAACATGTTCCGCGTCGAGAAAATCGCAAGCCACCTGGGAGACATGGGCATCGACCTCGGGCTCATCGGGCCCATTGCGGAGGAGTTCAATCGTCAGGCTGACGCCCTCGCCACAACGGCGGCACGCACTCACAACCTTCCAGACGACATTGTCGAAGCTGCCAAAACACGACATCGCCAAGCGACCGTGCTTCATGGGGTCGCTGTCGCCATCTACGAGCGTAGACACCGCACACTCCCGCTCCCACACCGCAGGGCTGGGTTTACAGCTGCGGAACTCAACAAAATGGAACCAAACCCCCTGCTGTCGGACCAGGCACCACTCGCGGCTGGACCAGACATCCCACAGAACCTGGACGAGCTCTGGGCCGAGGCCCAACGGGCGATATTCGACGAACAGGAGGACGACCCGTTCGGCTTCGGCGGGGGACTGGACTTCTTAGGCGACGGGCCAGCCAGCGCCAACCTTGCCCCGTCGGGCATCCGCACGTCGCCCTCGACTCAGCCACCAAGAGCGGCATCGCACCCACATGACAACGCCGCTCACCTCCAAGACGCTGACGAACAGGAGGACGACCCGTTCAGCTGCGGTGGGGGATCAGACGTTTTGGATGACGGCCCAGCCAGCGACAACCCTGCCCCGTCGGGCAACCTCTCGACGCCTACCGCGACTCCGTCTCCGAGAGCGACATCGCCCCCATATGATGTTATCGGTCTCCGCCAAGACGCCGACGACGACCTGGGTGACCCCCGCGGACTGAGTGGCATAGACGACGCACCGCCGACACCCCAGGCTGCCGACCATGCCGCCCTACCGAGACGCCACCCTACTACACGGCTGACCTCAGAGCCCTCGCACGGCATCTTGATTGGTCCCACCGCGCAAACCACTCCGCCCCCCCACCAGCGGCAGCCCGCGGGGGCGGCTTCAGCCCCCCCGCAGGGCACTGAACCTGACAGCTCCTCGCACCCCGTTCACGCTTCCATCGTGGCTGAGCGGGAGGATGCGGCTCTCCCGACCTCTCGGGGCGTTGCCCTAGCGGCTCCAGCCCTGGGGCCGCGCGTTCCCCGCCAGCCACCTTCTAAGGGTTACGGACGACAGCATACAGGGTGCCGTACTACGCTTGTCCACCATCTGGATAGGCGTGCCGAGGACCTCGCCCCTGTCACGCGGCCCGCGGCCGCTGGCACTGAGCAGCCACCCCTCACCGATCGCGAAACCGAGCTGTCCCAGGCTATGGCCGCTCTCCAGCAGAGGTGTGTTGCTCTAGCCGCGGACCTCGCCGCCGCCCAAGCTCGCCAAGGCCCTCTACTCCAGCGCCTCCACAGCGCCGGGCGAGCCTTCGCCGAGCTGCTTACGCCCTCGCCCGATGGTGCCGTGCCGTCACTCACCATCCAAGCTATGCTGTCATCGTTCCGCGGCGCTCCACCTGGTGCCCCGCGCTAATCTCCTCCTTTCTGCCTGCCCGTGAGTACGCGTGGCTCCGCGTCCACGGTGTCAGGGCGTGGGGGCGGGGGGTGCCCCGTCACTGCGCGCCGCTTTGCGGCCAAGCGCCCAACTGGCGGTCTGCCAAGCCGCCTAGCCACGTGTCAGCACGTCGCCTTTCTTGTTGGGGCCTCTTTCTTTACGCGGTCTGACAGGTGAGATCATCACCGTCTGTCCGCCGTCTGTAGCGTCTGTCGCACTGCGCCGGGGGAGGGTTTTTTTGTTGCCCGCCCTCGTATCTAAAGGCTGCACCGCCGCAAATAGTGTTTAGCGAGCTGTCGCACCGCAGTGCGCCTCGCGGACGGACCCTGGTCCGCCTACTTGTCCGCTCTCCCTCCTCCTCCTCCTCCTCCTCCTCCTCCTCCTCCTCCTCCTCCTCCTCCTCCTCCTCCTCCTCCTCCTCCTCCCTCTCCTCTCCCTCCTCCTCCTCCCCCTCCTCCTCCTCGTCATGGAACGACTCATGACGTCGGGGGTCTGGGTCCACGATGCGCTGGCGTCGCAGCCTCGTGACCGGCAGCGTCCGTAGCAGGCCCAGCGGCACATCGGCCGCAGCGCCTGCCCAGTCTCCGCTGCCCTGCCCCTGCCTCTGGCCCGCTGCCTCCGCAGGGCCTGGAGGAAGGGGCGGAGGAGGAGGGGGAGGAGGAGGAGGAGGAGGAGGAGGAGGAGGAGGAGGAGGAGGAGGAGGAGCAGGCCCCTTCCTCTGGCCCGCTGCCTGCGCGCAGGGGTTTTCCCCGGGCCCCGGCTCGGCCCGCGGGGAGGCCAGCCTCTGGGCGGGTCAGGGGGCGCCGCCCTCTGACTCGGGGTCCTCTCTCGCTCCGGGGGTCCTGTCTCGCTTCTGACCCAGACCTCCTCGCGTCGTGAAAAAATCACGACGGGAGGTTTTTCCCTATTTTCGCCCCCTCGGGGCCCTCCCCGGGCCTCGGGAGCGTCAAAAAACGACTCGGGATGAACAACCGGTCCCGGGGAAGGGGTCCAGACCTCTGGGTGTCGACGTCGTGAAAAAATCACGACGTCGGGGGTCTGGGGGCCCGGGGTCCTCTCTCGCCTCCGCAAGGCTGCTGCCTGCGGGGTCCTCTGCCGAGCATGGCAAGGGCGTGGGCGGCACGACAGCAACCACGGGCACGCGGATCGTCCCAGAGCGCAGCACATATCCAGGGCCCTTCTGGGGTGGCCGGGTCCCGCCGTGGAGTGGGTGGACAGGAGACAGATATTTGGCACGACGGTGTAGGCGTCGTTGCGGGCGTCGGCGTCGATGCTGCCATCGTGCTGGCACAGTCCGCGCTGCTCCTCACGAGCGTGAGCGGCCGGAGGCGGCGGCAGCCAGCGCGGCGCCTGCAGCGCGCTGGGCGAAGACGTCGGAGGGCTTGGCATCGCTCGGACGTGTGCATTTTTCCTTCGGCGAGGGCCATCGAGGAGCACCCTTGATCATTTAGGGAAAAAAGCCGCGCACGAAACCGGGAAAAAACACGGGGAATGGACGTCCGAGCGATGGCCAGAAGGGGGACCCACGGCCGCGAGGCACGCCGGCTCTTTGCCGTGACCGTGAGCTCAGGGCTCGGGAGACCCAGACCTCCTCGCGTCGTGAAAAAATCGCGGCGGGAGGTTCTTCCCTAGTTTCGCCCTCTGCCGGTCCTCACCGGGCCTCGGGACCGTCAAAAAACGACTCGGGATGAAACACCGGTCCCGGGGAAGGGGTCCAGACCTCTGGGGGTCGACGTTGTGAAAAAATCACAACGTCGGAGGTCTGGGGACGGGGGTCAATGCAAACGGGGGTCCGCCAGAGCGCCGGATCTTGCAGGATCTTGCGGGGCCAGGGTCGCGTTGGCCCGGGCTTGGGTGCAGGATCCTATGCAGCATCCTGCAGGATCCTTCGCGAGGTCCTTCGCGTTGACCTGGGTTTGGGCGCAGGATCCTGCAGGATTCTGCAAGGCTTGACTGACCGGGGTCTGGACCGACCCGGGTCAGAAGCCCCCCGATCCCAGACCCCCGACGTCGTGTTTTTTTCGCGACGTCGACCCCCAAAGGTCTGGATCCCTTCCCTGGGACCGGTTCTTCGTCCCGAGTCGTTTTTTGACGCTCCCGAGGCCCGGGGAGGGACCCCGGAGGCCGAAGATACCGAAAAACCTCCCGTCGTGATTTTTTCACGACGCCAGGAGGTCTGGGATGAGCGCGGCGGCAGCGTCAGCGCCCTCGCCGGGGCCGGACGCGGACCCAGGTGGCCAGGCGCCCGACGCGGCGGCGGCATCGGCGGGGACGCGGGCGGCGGCTGCGCGCTCCTCGTCGGGAGCGGCGTCGGAGGGTGGCCCGCCCCGCCCTCCCTCCTCCTCCTCCTCCTCCTCCTCCTCCTCCTCCTCCTCCTCCTCCTCCTCCTCCTCCTCCTCCTCCTCCTCCTCCTCCTCCTCCTCCTCCTCCTCCTCTCCTCCCTCCTCCCTCCTCCCTCCTCCTCCTCCTCCTCCTCCTCCTCCTCCTCCTCCTCCTCCTCCTCCTCCTCCTCCTCCTCCTCCTCCTCCTCCTCCTCCTCCTCCTCCTCCTCCTCCTCCTCCTCCTCCTCCTCCTCCTCCTCCTCCTCCTCCTCCTCCTCCTCCTCCTCGGGCGGCGGCCGCGTCGGCGCCGGCCAGGGCGGCTTCGCGCGGGGCGCGGCCGCTCCCGTGCTCGGGAGGGGCGGCGCGCACGGGCCCCGCCTGCCGTCGGGCACGTTGTTCCACTGGGGTCGGAGCCCCGCTGGACATGCGGGAGGGAGCGCGAGGAGGAGGAGGAGGAGGAGGAGGAGGAGGAGGAGGAGGAGGAGGAGGAGGAGGAGGAGGAGGAGGAGGAGGAGGAGGAGGGGGAGGAGGGGGAGAGAGGAGGAGGAGGAGAGGAGGAGGAGGAGGAGGAGGAGGAGGAGGAGGAGGAGGAGGAGGAGGAGGAGGAGGAGGAGGAGGAGGAGGACCAGTACAAAGCCAACACTCATCAAGGATGTTGGAATGACCCCTCCCTCCTCCAAGCTCCCTCCCCCACAAGGACTCATGTCCACTGAGGGAAGTGCCCTGTCGGGAGACAACCGTCGGAAGATCCGGAAGCGTGCCGAAGCAGTAATTATTCTCAGAATTTCAACGCCACGACTCAACCTGACTGTTGCGTCTTGACGATCTTGAGTCGTGCCAAAACACCATGCCAGGGACTTCAACACCGCGAATCAAACGGAAGCGCCATGACAATCCTAAATCGCTCGGAAACACCGTTCCTGGTACGCGATCCATGGGAATCCGTGGAACCCTTGCAAACTTTTGGTGCGAATGTGCGCGGCGCTGAGGCGAGAGCCACAGTTTGAAAAGGAAAGGCCCCCAATCCATGAAGCCCTTCATTTTTCAGGACGTGCGTGGCGCTGAGGCGAGAGCCACATTTTGAACACGGCCCGCCCTCAATCCGTGGAGCTCTGCGAGTTTTCGAGATGAGCGTGCGCGGCGCCAAGGCGAGAACAATCGGGGGCGGACAGAACCCCCAACAGTGACACGTCGATTAGTGAATTGTCCGTTTTCGGTTCTCGAGATGGCGCCGCGGCCGTCATTTTCCAGGCTTGCGCCCGCCAGGTTTGGGCCTCAGGTCGTTTTCACTAAACCACGTTTTACTAAAGGGGGTTCTGTCCATCCCCGAAACAACATCTTGAGAACCGCCCGCCCTCCATCCGTGAGGTTGTTGTACCGTGGAGAGGAGGTCTCAGGCGAGACGCCTGGCCCGCCCGTTCGACCAGCCTCGAGGCGGGGCAGGGAGGAGCTGTGTATAAGGACTTGAACGGCGGAGGAGGAGGACCCAGACCTCCTCGCGTCGTGAAAAAATCACGACGGGGGGTTTTTCGCTATTTTCGGCCTCCGGGGGCCCTCCCCGGGCCTCGGGAGCGTCAAAAAACGACTCGGGATGAAAAACCGGCCCAGGGGAAAGGGTCCAGACCTCTGGGGGTCGACGTCGTGAAAAAATCACGACGTCGGGAGTCTGGGGAGGAGGAGGAGGAGGAGGAGGAGGGGGAGGAGAAGAAGAAGAGGCGGTGGAGGAGGAGGTGGAGGAGGAGAGGAACGATCAGAAAGGATAATGATCAGTGGGGCGAGGAGGAGGAGGAAGGCGGTTGTGAGGGAGATGGAGCGAGGGAGCCAGAGTAGGGGCATCATATTGAGGACGAAAAAGTGGAGGACGAGGAGGAGCAGCACTACGAGTGCTTAGAAGTAGGCAGCCGCGCGCGAAGTGCGCGATTGCCTTTGGCGAGACCCGAAGCGCGAGCGAAGCGCGCGCATGAATCTGTGTCATGAATGTTTTGGGTTGTCTTATATGAAGTAGGAGTGGGACTCCCACGAGTTGTGCCGTTCATGGTGAGGCCGTGCAGTGGTTGTGTCTATTGGTCGCAGCGTAGTATGCATGAGGTAGCTGCGAGGTGGCTGTCTGGTCGTTACGCGTGCATCTGTGAGAAGGTGGAATATAGTTGAGGTGTTGCATGGTGTACCCATGGTGTTGGTATCAGTTTTCCCAGGGGTACTGGCATGGCATCTTTGCAAGGTATCTTTCAACTGGTCATTCCGTGGCAATAAGTATCTCACGGCAATCAGTTTCCAGAATCATTATGCTTGTAACAATGATGAGAGGTCATGCATCATGCAATTGTTGTTAAGGTTATGCCGTGGCAATGGACAAGTCGGGACGACCCGTTTCCAGCGCCACTCGGGATCCCAGCGTTTGCAGCAACTGCAGCCATTTGGGCTGAAGCCCACCTTGTCAGGACCGACCGAGCCGAGACTCTACCAGCCTGATTCTCCAGCATGCCAAAGGGAACCATCAAGAAGTTCTTCGAGGACAAGGGCTTCGGCTTCATCACGCCCGAGGACGGCGGCGAGGACGTGTTCGTACACCGGAAGGTGAACGGTGCGGATCGTACCGCGTACCTCGAGGAAGGTGACGCTGTTGAGTACGAGTTGGAGTGGGACGACCGCAAGGGAAAGTACTGCGCCTCGTCTTGCTCTGGTCCCTGGAAGTCGGGCGGCGGCGATGGCGGTGGCGGGGGTGGCGGCTGGGGTGGCGGTGGCGGCGGCAAGGGCGGCGGCAAGGGCGGCGGTGGTGGTTGGGGAAAGGGCGGTGGCGGCTGGTAGCCTCGTGGGTGGTGGAAGCCCCCCAGGCGGGCCGCCGTGGTTAAGCGCATTTGCCTGTTTCGAAAGATAATGTGCTTCCCATTGTTCTCCCCTACGGGTTAATTCTCGGTTGCTCATGGCCGGGCACGCCGAGTCCGCTCGGCGTGTCCGCAATGGTCTGGCTTCCTGCGTCTGCAGCACTGTGGCTCGAACAGCAAGAAAACTGCAAATGCGGAAGGCTTCGGAGGTGCGCGCGGATTTCTTGGGTCGGCGCTGGACCTCCCTGGGCGCCCTGACTGCGGTTCTTGCGCCGCGCCTGGCGCGCGCCAAGGGAGGGGGGTCCAGCGTCGACCCGAAAAATCCGCGTGGGCCCCCGAAAGTGTATGTGCGTGCAGTGTTTTGCTGTTCCTATTCGTGCGTAAGGGTACGTTTAGGCTGCTGCCGGCAGGCCTCGGTGCGTGCACCAGTAGTTTTGCCTGGCCGAGATCTCTCTCTCTCGGCGTCGTCCGAAGCCGACTCGGGGCCCGCGCTCGGCCCGAGCACATAAAAAGCTGGCGGAGGGGAGGGCGAGGGCTGGCGAGGCCTCCAGCGGACGGAGCGCGGCATCCGCCAGATACCACTCTCCGCTGCGGACATCTTCCTGGCAGCCCCGACAGGAGATTGCTCAAGACTGATCGGTTCACACAGTGACAGAGGCTTGCAAAAAAAAAACCCAAGGATTGCAATCCTTTTTTGCAATCCTTTTTTGCAATCCTGGGCTTTTTTTTGCAATCCTTGGTTTTTTTGCAATCCTTTTTTGCAATCCTGTTTTTTTTTGCAATCCTTCGTTCAACTGAGCCCACTCCATGCTGAAAGGAACTCGCCGTACTGGCCCCTGCACCTCTGCGGGCCGGCCGCCGTCGGCGCCTCGGCCGTGTCTGGCGCGAGGTGCTGCGTGGAACGACGTTCGTGGATGGTCTCGGGCCCCGAGTCCGAGTCGAAGGATTGCAACGAAGGATTGCAAACACTTGAACGAAGGGTTTTTTTGCAATCCTTCGTTGAAGGGTTTTTTTGCAATCCTGTTTTTTTTTTTTTTGCAATTCTTCGTTCTGGGTGGGGGGGGGCGCTCTGGTGGGAGGAGGTGGAGGTGGCGGAGGAGAGGAGCAGAGCGGAGGCGGGGTCCCCAGACCCCCGACGTCGTGATTTTTTCACAACGTCGACCCCCAGAGGTCTGGACCCCTTCCCCGGGGCCGGTTTTTCATCCTCAGTCGTTTTTTGACGCTCCCGAGGCCCGGGAAGGGCCCCTGGAGGCCGAAAAGAGCGAAAAAAAACCCGTCGTGATTTTTGCACGACGCGAGGAGGTCTGGGTCCGCAGCCATTCTTGATCGAGCCAGCTCGGATTCGCCCCTGGAGGCCGAAAAGAGCGAAAAAAAACCCGTCGTGATTTTTGCACGACGCGAGGAGGTCTGGGTCCGCAGCCATTCTTGATCGAGCCAGCTCGGATCCGCCCCCGGCGCGGCGGCCAGGGCGGGCGCGAGCAGGGCGGCGCACGGCGAGGACGGAGCCTTCTCCGGCCACGGCGTGCTGCGGAGAGGAGCGCGAGGCCTCGCGGGACGGGGCGCACCCGTCGGCCGATAGGCCCGCGTTCGATCCTCCTCCTCCTCCTCCTCCTCCTCGTTCTTCCTCCTCCTCCTCCTCCTCCTCGAGCCAGGGCGCGAGAACGAAGTCTCACGCTCGAATCGACGCGCGAGAACGAGGGCGGAGCAAGCTCAAAAGACGCGAAGATCGGGACAAAATCGGATCGGGATAGCTCGAAATCTCTGAGAGTCGGCGGCTTTGGAGGACGTATCGGGCGCCGCGGCCGCTCTCAGAGCGTTCCGGAACGCTCGGAGAGCGCGCCGCGAACGGCTCTGGAGCGAGTTATCCCGATCCTGGCCCTGTTTTGGTGTTCAAGGGCGCCGAGGAGCACGAGCGCGCCCGCGAGGAGCTGCGCTCGGCGCGATCGCCAGCGACGGCGAGTTGGCGCAGCGCCCGGGGGCACCGTGGCCCGCGCTGCTGGGGCGCGGCGGAGCGCCCAGCCGCCGTGCCGGCCAGGCGAGCTGCGCGGGAGCGTCGCCGTGCACCGTGCGCGCTGATGCTGTGGGGCTGCAGCGAGGCGTTCCCAGACCTCCTCGCGTCGTGAAAAAATCACGACGGGAGGTTTTTCCCTATTTTCGGCCTCCTTACCGGGCCTCGGGAGCGTCAAAAAACGACTCGGGACGAAGAACCGGTCCCGGGGAAGGGGTCCAGACCTCTGGGGGTCGACGTCGCGAAAAAATCACGACGTCGGGGGTCTGGGTTGGCAGACACCGCGGCGCTTCACCGCGGCCAGCACTGGCCGGGGCTTAGAAGTTTGTCTGTTGAGCCGCCCGAGCGGGGTGGGCAATGATGGCTCCGTCAGTGTCCTCTCCGCCGACGTTGTCGTCTCCGTGCCTGGAGGAGGACCAGGCGGAGGGCCAGGAGAAGACAAGTCGGAGGAGGAGAAGGAGGAGGAGGAGGAGGAGGACAAGTGTAAACCCAAGACGCATCCACGATGTTGTAGTAAACCCTCCATCCAGGGTCCATCTCCAGAGGTCCCTACAAGAATTTGTTTTCACTCTGGGAACTTCCCCATTGAAAAATGTCAGCCAGCGTGGCCCCTGAGCAGCGTGTTTCTAGCAAGTGCAGTCTGTGTTCAGCAATATTCAATGAGCTTCGGCCCATCCCGCCAACATTCCTGGGTTGTGGGTGTGAAGCCTATTGGATGTTCGTTGGGATCTCGTGGGGGGTCTCTCGGGGGCCTCTGGGAGGCAGTTTGGAGGCCCCCTACGGGCCGAATCGGAGCCTCCTGGGGTCTCTTTTGGGCCTCTCGGGGGCCTCGTGGGACCTCTTGGGGGCCTCTCGGGGGCCTCCTTGCGCCTCCTGGGGCCTCCTGGGGGCCTCTCGGGGCGGAAGGCTTGGATTTTCGGTTCGTGTTCCCTCTCTTGGGCCCCGTCTGGGGCCGTCTCGGAGCCCTCTTGGGCCGGGCCGTCCTGGGCGCCTCTTGGGCTGTCTTGAGGCGCTCTTAGGCCGTCTCGGGGTCCTCTTGGGGGCTTCTTGCGCCGTTTTGGGGTGGTCTTCGGGCCTTTTAGGTCACCTTGGAGCGTCGGAAAGAAAGCCCAAATCTGTCAAACACCAAATGAAACTCAGTGGTTTTGTCTCTTGAGGCCCTCTTGGAAGGCCTCTTGGAGGCCTGCTGGGGCGTCTTGGAGGCCTCTTGGGCCATACTGAGGGCGTCTTTCAGAGCCCCGAATCATCAGGGGTCACTCGGGTCAGGGATAACTCGGGTTCGTTTTTCGGGAATCCGAACCCGACTTACCCCGGACCCGAGTTACCCCGGATAATTCGGGCGTCCAGAGCCCCACATCATCAGGGATAACTCGGGTCAGGGCTAACTCGGGTTCCTTTCTCGGGAATCCGAACCCGAGTTACCCCGGACCCGAGTTACCCCGGATAATTCGGGCGCCCAAGTCTTGGGCAGATCATCGGGCGTCTCGGGGTCCTCTCGGACCGTCTTGCGGGCCTCGCGGGCCCCCCCTGGCCCGTCCTGCGGCCCCCGTGGGCCCGACGGCGTCGCGCGACCAGGTGCGGGGGAGTCCAGGGGGGCACGCGGGGAGCCACGCCGGGAGCCCCCGGAGATTTCGGAGCCCCCTGTGGCTCGACAGTGTCCTCCCCCTCCTCCTCCTCCTCCTCCTCCTCCTCCTCCTCCTCCTCCTCCTCCTCCTCCTCCTCCTCCTCCTCCTCGGCCCATTTGAAAAAAAATCCTCGGGGCGGAGGGCCGGGGCCCCAGGGCTGAGGCAGAGGGCCGGAGGACTCGCCCGATGCGTGCCCAGGGGCACGCCTGCGGGTGTGTGTTGCGCAATCGGTGCGGTGCAAGAACATCCGTGCCGTCTATGTGGGGCAACCTATGTGGTGCAAGAGTTGTGGTGCAATCTATGTGTATATATGTATAGGGTATGATTAATTTCTCATCGCAGTGAGTTGTCAACTCCACCCGCAATTTGGTTTGCAAAACGCATGCGGTGGGGATTGAGGTGGGTGCTTGACGTTGGCTGGTCCATCCCTGCGGCCGCGCCAACCCACCCAAGCACGCGCGCGTAGCGGCCAACTAGTTTTGCGCGATCGGCGCGGCCGCGGTGGCGTTGACCGCTGGGCACATCCCAGCGGGCACTTCAGAGCGAGTCGGCGACTTGGGCGGGCGCGGTATCATGGCAACGTCGACAACGGTAGACACGATAATGATAGTAGCGATGCTGGCGACGATGTTGACAACGAAGACGGCGCGGCTCCTGCGGTCGCCGATGTTGACCGCGCCGACGACGATGACGGCGTCGCCGCGTCGGCGATGAAGGTTCGGGAAAGAGTTTGACCCGCGCGCGCGGCCGACGCGCAAGAGTGGCCCGCATGGTATTATTTGACGCGGATCGCGACCCCGCCTCCTTCCCAGCATACGCGCAAGGGCGCGCGAATGAGGTCGGCATGCGGCGCCAAAAGGCACGTTTGGCACAATTCAGGGAGCATGGCGAGAAGCCCATGGTTTTGTTCAGAATTCGCAAGAGCGCGAGCGCAAGCTTTTTTGAAAATTGACGCTGCGAAGCCTTAAAACACATGTTTTGCACACTCGGTTGTAACATCGTTACGACACCGAAGGTTTTTGACGGATTCCGGCACGCTCGCGCGACAGCGCGCGCGTGCATTTGGTTTCGCGTTTGCAAAGGGTGCTGGCGACAACACGCGCGCGAGGGCGTTCGAGTGATTCCGGCATGCGCGCGCGAAGTTCTTTCTGTAGTTATGCATGAACGCGATGAAAGATGTGTGTTTAAGAATCTGCAGGAATGCGCGCGTAGGCTTCTTTATGGAAAAACCAGCGTTGCGAAACCATTTTTTGTTTTGTTTGAAGCATCGATGTTGAAATCCTTGCGATACCGACGTTTCTGAAAAAAAGGTTATGGCAAGCGCGCGCAACAGCGCGCGCGCGTGTGCATGTCGTTTCGTTTTTGGCAAAGGATTCTCGACTTCTGATCTCTTTTTTGATAAGCGAGCGCGCGCGTCGTGTTTTTGTTTGTCAAAGATGGCCGGGGGTGGGGGGGTTGGTGGGGGTGCCGGCTTGGCTGCAATGGTACGATTTTCATTTAGTTTGGGCGATGGGGCAGAATCATATGTAAGTTGCAATGTGTAAAGGAGATCGGATAATTCCGCCTGCGGGGGGGTGGTAGAATCTATTCTCTTTCAAGAAAGGGGAACCCATGTGATGCAACATGCGCGGCGCGCTTTGTGCGATGCGATATACGCGGTGCAATCCACCGGTGCTCAACTTGAAGTTGTTCACTCTGCTGCTCGCGCAAGCATCCCGCCCGCCCATCCGCAACTTGGTTTGTAAACCCCACGCGGCGGCGAATGCGACGAGTGCTGGGCGCTGGCTGGCGCATCTCCTCGGCCGCGACCGCGCGCGCATGCGCGCGCGCAGTTTGCCGGCTACTTTGGCGCGACCGACGCAGCCGCGGTGGCGCTGACCGCTGGGCACGTCCCAGCGGACACTTCAGTGCGAGTCGGCGACGTGGGCTGGCGCGGTGCCGTGGCAACGTCGACAGCGGTAGACGCGGCGATGATAGTATGTAGCGTTGCTGGTAAAGGACGCCGGCGGCGACGACGGCGCGGCCTGGGGCGGCGCGGACGTCGATTGCGCCGACGACGATGACGGCGCCTTCGCGCCGGCGATGAAAGTTCCGGAAAGAGTTCGACATGCGCGCGCGGCCCATATATATATATAGAAATATCCTTTTTTTTTCTTTGTCTCTCTCTCTCTGTCTCTATATCTCTCTCATCATTGTTTTTTCTCTTTCTCTTTCTCTTTCTCTTTCTCTCTCTTTTTTTGTTGTTCTCTCTCTCTCTCTCTCTCTTTGTTTTGCTTCTCTCTTTTGCCCGTTTCTGCAGAGGTTTCTCGACGGCGCGCGCGCGAGGGCGCCCGGGCGATTTCGACGCGCGCCCGCGAAGCCCGCGCGGCTGTTTCTTCTGAGCACGATGATAACCTGCGTTTTTTTTTGTTACCAAGAATTCGCAAAGGTGCGCGCGCAAGTTTTTTCCCAGCGCTGCAAATCCGTGCGTTTTTATGTGTTCTTTAGACACTCAGTCTTGGCATCCTCGCGAAATCTCAGTTTGTGGTGTTTACAAAATGATTTAGGCATGCGCGCGCGACGACGCGCGCGCTTCGTCTCATTCTGTTGCAAGGGATTTGTGAACATTGAAAAGTGATGATTTGTGGCGCCCGGGTGCGCGCGCATGCTGTTTTGGGGGGGCCGAGGACGGCGGGGGCGGCGATGCCGGCTTGGCCGGGATGGCGCGAAGTCATGCTTAGGATGGGCGATCGGGGCAGAATCGCGCGCAACGCGCAATGCGAAACAGGGAGCGGATAATTCTGGGGGGGGGGAGGGGGGGGGGTATTTTTTGAAAGGTAGAGCGGAACAGCTATGCGGTGCAATCGATTTAAACAAACGAGCTGGCGCACCCCATGCTCCTCCTGCCTCCCCCCCCGCGGCCCTAGAGCCTCCCAAGCTGGGTTCGGCACCCTCTGAGGAGGCACC